TAACAACTATTCATGAGCACCAGAATTAATGCAAACATTCAACCCAAACCTCTGAGCCTTTCCTGTTATTTTGCCTTCAAGCACCTTTGATACTTCCTCTCTCTCTCTCACTTTTTTTACTTGTCTTTTCTGAACTTACCCATCTATGACTGTGTCATTTTCTGCCTATTTTTCTTCCTCCCTCTTGTTTTATTTTTCACACACATAAATTTCCCTTTCCACTTTTTCTGTCTCTTCTTTTCTTAAAATGTTCTACAGGAGAAAAAAATTACATTAGTCTATAAGTAGTAGATCAATGCCCACCGTTCTCCACATTCCAGAGTACCCTGTATCCTTCCCCTCACTGTTGTGCCACCTTTCCTAGTCACTTCTCATTATTATCCCACCTTAATTCTATTGCATAAGGGAAATTGCTCTCACGAAAGCCACTAGAAATTCATTTCCATAGTCTGCGATCTCTGTTCACTCCTTGTCCTACAAGAGCATTTATTTTGGCATTTGGCAATTTACTTTTCTTTGTCATTCTCACTATCTTTCTTTTCTTTATGTCCAGAACACTCAGCTTTCTAGTTTTCCTCCTGCTTCTTCCCTTGATCACTCTGCTTAGTATCCTTTTCTCATCTCTTTCTTGTCTCTCTTTGGACTTCGAGGCCTTTGGGTTGCAACAAGAAATGAGTTTATTGGATAGAAATTGGCTCTAACATAGAAATTCTAGGGAAGTTGGAAGAATTAGCTGGAAAAGAATGGCAGGAACAGAAGGAAGCAAGGCAGCCAGTCAACAGCCAAAATCCTGTCCCAACACTGGCTTCATGACATTGGCTATTAAGGCTGCTGAAATTCCAATGACACAGCTTATACTATCAGTGCCCCACCCTAGAACTACTGAAGCAGGATCTGCACCTTAACAAGGTCTCCAAGACCTTTCTAGGCCTTGAAGTTTGGTAAGGACAGATCTAGGCCACCTCCCCACAGATGTCTTTTGTTTTTTATTTCCTTTGCTCCTCACTCTGAGCTTTGCTTAGGAAGATTTCAGCTTAACATTGGAGCTGGATATATGTCTAGGATTTGAGCTATAATTTGCATGGAAAAGACAACTTGGAGTTTCCTTCTAAAGACAATCTAGATCTGTGGTTTCATTTAAGTCATGTTTTGATTAGCTCAGATGAGACCATACTAATCAAAGCATTCAAAGCAACAAATTTTATGGATATATAAACTGCATTTTTCACAAACATGTCAGAAGTGTCATCTGTGGTGGAAAACATTGGTATAAAGTATGATTTCAGTAGTTAAAACTAGGACTCTCTATGGTGACTTGGGGTTTATGATTTCAAAGGCTGTAATGCCCTGTGGGACAATTTGAACTTCTCATGCACATCCAACCGTACAATGCCCAGCAGGGCCTCAAACTTTGTCCTGAAGGGAATCCTCATGCTCTCTGGGGGCAATTTCAGTTCCCCACTTTTTCCTGTTTGAGCAAAAGCACACAGTTGTACAATTGGTTGACTCTTGTTTTCAAGGCAAATTTATATACACATTTCCTTAGTTTGGGATATGAAGCCTCTGAAATGAATCAGTGTGCCAAGAATTGCTACCTGTGTTTTTGTCATTTCTGTGCTATAATTGTATTTATTTCTACTTTAGAAAGCCTAACACTGTTAAAGGATTTCCACAATTTCTGTCAAGGTATGAGTAAGAGAGAAATGATTTCTTTAATATTTATTATTCTTTATATACTAACTTAAAACTTTTATTTAATTTATAATAATTTAAGATTGGGTTTATAAGAAGTCAAATGAGACAGGCAGAAATGAGAACTATTAGTGAATTATCTGTATTCTTTATTTTTACAATTAAAGTCAGGACAAGCATATTAGCTATAAGACTAATTTTTTCCCTTTAACAATGTTTTATTACTCTGTTAAATTATTACCCTGTTAATTTTATTACTCAGGGTAATTTTATTACCCTGTTATTGACCTTATAAGGTAAGTTTTGGTGAGCCAGAACACTAATTTAAAACTGAGTTTAAAGATTAAATTGCGATGATTGCTATATAGGTTTTTGTCGAGTCTAATAAAAACACCCATTCTATTTAATGAAATATGTATTCTTATTAAAACTTTTAAGGTATCACTTAAATACTTAGCTCATCTATCCTTTCACTAACTTCTGAAAATAATTTAATACATATTTAAAAGATACCCATACAGAAACAGAATTTGACATTTTCAATTATTTCGATTATTTCTTATTTGAGATTTCATGAAAGAAAGTCCATTCCAAAGAAAGTCCATACATCTGGAATTATTAGTGTTGGCCATTGATATAGCCTGTGTTAGGTTGAATTCTTGGCTCAATAGTATTCTGCCAAAAAACAAAAAAAAATTGCTGGATAAGAATTTGCTGTCAAGTAAAGCCAGAAGAATTCCTACAGTAAGTCACTTCTATTGACTATAATAAAAAAGATAAAGTAACTTTTAAATATGGAAAGAACTTTCAGACAGTGCTAGTATAGTTATGAACAACATAAAGTTTTTAAGTAAATTTCCAAATCAGATCTCATTTTCATATACAAATTTCATAGAAAACGAAAATTAATTTTGAGTAACAGTAAAGAAAATATCCTAGAATTTACATCTTTTAATGTTAAGATTTATATTTACCCCCCAGGGTTAAGATTTATATTTACCCCCCAGGGTTAAGATTTATATTTACCCCCAAGCCTCTGAGCCTTTCCTTTTAATTCTTCTTCAGGCTTTCTCTGATACTTCCTCTCTCTCTCTCTTTTTTGGCTTGTTTTTCCTATACTTATCCATATGTCATTTTTGTTCTCTATTTCTGTTTCTTTTGTTTTCTTTTGATCACCCAGATTTTCCTTTCCACTTCTCCCGTCCACTTTCTCCTCTCCCTGCTTTCCTTTCTTCTCTTTACTTTTGAAACCTTTTATTAAATATGAAGAAGTCCGACATAAAAATGTTTTATATTTGCCTATGACCAAAGGCAAATGCTAACTTCCCTCCATATTAATTGGAATGTTCTATTTCACACCCCTCACTGTTGTGCCACCTGTTTCCCATTCATTTCTTGTTATTCTCTGACCTTTATTCTATCACAAATGGAAACTGCTTTCACTAGAGCCACTAAAAATCTTATTTTCACACGTAGTGATCTCTGTTCACTTGTCCAACTGGAGCATTTGTTTTGGCATTTGGGCCGATATTTCACTTTGTCCTCTTTGAGTAATCGTTACTCTCTTTGTATCTATGACACTCAGCTTCACAGTTTTCCTCCTGCTTCTATAATCATTCTGCTCAGTACCTTTTTCTGGTCTCTCCCTTGTCTCTCTTTTGTTTGAGCCAGGACTCTTGGTTGTAATAGGAAGTGAATTTATTCAATGGATATGGCTCTAGTATAGAAACACTAGGTAAGTAGGAGGAATCAGCTGTAAAAATGGGCAGGAACAGAAGGAAGGAAGGCAGCCAGTCAATAGCCAAAATCATGTCTCAGCACTAGCTCAGTGAAAACCGCTGTTACTGCTGATGAACTTTCCAATGCCACAACTCAATTCCATTGTTGTATGTGGGATGCATCTGCTGGAGTCTTTTCTTTTTTTTATTTCAGCATAATATGGGGGTATAAATGTTCAAGTTACGTATATTGCCCTTGCCCCACCCGAGTCATATTGCTGCTTTGGCTGCCTTTGCATCCAAAATTCTTCTTGCCCCTGTTCCATTGTTTCCCACTCTCCAAATTCCAAATCTGTGGTGGTGGATTTGACTGGTCAAACCTAGATCAAGTCTCCGCACTCTAGATGCAAGATGGATAGAAAAGCTCTGGAGTGGGTAGTATTCTCTGTGGCCACCAAGATTCATGTGGTAGAAAAGGGGACTAGGCTTTGGCTATCTAATAAGTGGCATATATCCACTTTATAACCTGATTAATATGACTGTTTTCTTCTGTGTTTCTCTTTTACTTTTGGCTCAGGTCTCCAATGCATATGGCATCTATAACTATGTCTTCAACTATGCCAATGACTCATATGTCATTATTATATTTTACTAAGCTAGATTAGAGTCATACTCCTAAGTACTTTTGACTTGGATGGTCAGAGGATGCTCATTCTATGTATCTGCCTGTGAATCTGTTCTCAACCTATTTTGAATCACCCAGTGGCTCTTTCTTTCACTGACCATCCTCTTCACACCTAACGTGTCATACAGTCCTGCTGACTCTGCATTCTGAATTATTTTGGATTTATTCCTTTGTCCCACTCATCACTTCCAATGTCTTATCACACATCACTTGGTACTTCACATCATTTGAAACACCGGAATAGCATTTTAAAAATGCATAGTCCTATACTTTATTTTTTAACCACTGAATCTATTTCTACACTAATCCCTCTTATTATATATTTTGGCAAGAAAGCTCCTCAGACAATTCTGATGTGTGTCTGGTTTGGGATCCCTGGACAATAGAAACTGCTTCCTGACTGGTATCTCTGGCTCGTTTCTCCTTTTTTGCAGCTGATTTTCTACAGGACCAATTGTTTCATTTAAAATAAATCTTAAATGCCATTCTCTGTCATAAAAGTTTTCATTCATGTCTATTGCTTGAACAATAAAGTTCCAGATTCTTCACAAGTCTTAGAACTCATTGTATATTCCTGGACTTACAAAGATCTTTTATGTCGACACTACATCCATGCTCCAGACACAGGATTTTTCTACCACACTCAATGGTGTTGACAGAAATTTAGCATGTGCTTAGAATGCCTCTACTTTTTTTCTAAATCTGTTTATTTATGCACATTCTATGGACTGAAACAATTGCATTTTTCAATTCCTTCAATTACCCTTCAAATACTCTAGTCTACTGTAACAAGTAAATGAAAGGGCATTCTGACAAGTGTGTGGTTTTATTTCACCTCCCTTCCTCCGATATTCCCTTTATAAATCCTTAGTGAATGTTCCTTTTACATTTATTTCATTTCAGGGATGTGTAGTGAGGACATGGAGAAGCAAAATGCCACCTTGCTGACAGAGTTCATTCTCACAGGACTTACATATCAATCAGAGTGGAAAATCATCCTGTTCCTGGCATTTCTGGTGATATATCTCATCACCATCATGGGGAACCTTGGTCTGATTGCTCTCATCTGGAATGATCCTCACCTTCACATCCCCATGTACTTATTCCTTGGGAGTTTAGCCTTTGTGGATGCTTGGTTATCTTCCACAGTGACCCCCAAGATGCTGGTCAACTTCTTAGCCAAGAGTCAGATGATGTCTCTCTCTGAATGCATGGTACAATTTTTTTCTTTTGGAATCAGTGCAACCACAGAATGTTTTCTCTTGGCAGCAATGGCGTATGATCGCTATGTAGCCATTTGCAAACCTTTACTCTATCCAGTGATTATGACCAATGCACTATGCATCCGGCTATTAGTCTTGTCATTCCTAGGTGGCTTTTTTCATGCCTTAATTCATGAAGCGTTTTTATTAAGATTAACCTTTCATAATTCTAACGTAATACATCACTTTTACTGTGATATTATACCATTGTTAAAAATTTCTTGTACTGATCCTTCTATTAATTTCCTAATGCTTTTTATTTTGTCTGGTTCAATACAGGTATTCACCATTGTGACTGTTTTTATCTCTTATGCATTTGTTCTCTTTACAATCTTAAAAAAGAAGTCTGTCAAAGGCTTAAGGAAAGCCTTCTCCACATGTGGAGCTCATCTCTTATCTGTGTCTTTATACTATGGCCCTCTTCTCTTCATGTATGTGCGTCCTGCATCTCCACAAGCAAGTGATGAAGATATGATGGAGTCTCTGTTTTACACTGACATAATTCCCTTGTTAAATCCAATTATCTACAGTCTGAGAAATAAGCAAGTCATAGATTCACTGACAAAAACATTAAAGGTAAATGTTTAGATCTCATACTAACATGTATTTTCTTTTTATTAAAGGTCACAAAATCATGCAGGTTAGATATAGGTATGTATTGGTGCAGGAAAGATTTTTGCAATCCCGATTGTCCTAACTATTTAATGAGGTGTTAGTACCTAATAAACTCCTTAAAATATTTGTATATGTTATTCAAAAGCATACAAGGACATTTAGTCAAGTGTTGATGGCATACTAGAATAATTACAGCAGAAAACATATAAAAACCTTAGAGAGGTGGGAAATCTGTGGCCTAAGGCCACATGTGGCCCTCCAGATCCCCTTTAATTAAAAGGATTTGTTCTGTAAAATTTGGATTCAGTCAAAGGGCTGCACTCAAGGATCCAAAAGGCACACGTGGCCCCAAGGGTGCAGGTTCCCCACCCCTTTCACAGATTTATAGACTAGAGATTCTTATCAAATTTACTCCATAGAGAGGACAGGGTTGTGTTTAGTTGAACACAAGCAAATCTCAGGAATTCAGCTAGCCATCAAAACGTCTTTTATTCTCCTTTATTGGGAAATGGTTACTTTCTCTTCTCGTAGAGATTCAATTCACATATCATACAGAGAAATAAATAGAAATTGGAATGAGAAATAAGTGAGAAGGAAATTAAAGCAGTAAAGGCAGGAATAAACAATGAGAGGATGGTCTTAGTTCACTGTACTTCTATGAATAAGGATAGGCCAGTTGCCTCGCCTTGTCTATGATGCCTTCTAAGGATCTTTCTAGCTATGTTTGCATGTTCTTTGGCAATCTGAAAAGCCTCACTAATTCAGAAGCTAACAGATTAGATTAAAGAATTAAGCTGGGGTGGGTGTAGAGAAGAGAGAGAAATTGCAGAATAGCAAAAAAATAGTCTCAATCTTCCCAGAATTTTTTAAAAAATAAACTAGTAAAATGGTGATTTTTTTTTTATTTCAGCATATTATGGGTGTACAGATGATTAGGTTACGTATGATGCCCTTGCCCTCCCTCCCCCTAAGTCCGAGCTTCAAGTGTGTCCATTGCCTCAGAGGTGCACATCACACTCCTTGTTTGTGCATATGCTCGTCCCCTCCTCCCCCTACCCCCTCCCCCTGCCCAACATCTAATAAATGTTATTCTTATATGTGCACTTAAATGTTGATCAGCTAATACTAATTTGATGGTGAGTACATGTGGTGCTTGTTTTTCCATTCTTGGGATACCTCGCTTAGTAGAATGTGTTCCAGCGCTTTCCAAGAGTATATAAGAGGTGCTATATCACCATTGTTTCTTAAAGCTGAATAGTACTTCATGGTATACATATACCACAGTTTATTAATCCACTCATGTATTGATGGACATTTCGGTTGTTTCCACATCTTTGCAATTGTGAATTGTGCTGCTATGAACATGTGAGTGCAGGTGTCTTTTTCATAGAGCGACTTTTGTTCTTTTGGGTAGATGCCCAGTAATGGGATTGCTGGATCAAATGGTAGTTCTACTTGTATCTCTTTAAGGTATCTCCATATTGCTTTCCACAAAGGTTGTTTTAATTTGCAGTCCCACCAGCAGTGTATGAGTGTTTCTACCTCTTCGCATCCATGCCAACATTTATTTTTTTGGGTCTTTTTGATAAAGGCCAGTCTCACTGGAGATAGGTGATATCTCATTGTGGTTTTAATTTGCATTTCCCTGATGATTAGAGATGTTGAGCATTTTTTCATATGTTTTTGACCATTATTCTGTCTTCTTTTGAAAAGTTTCTGTTCATGTCCTTTGCCCACTTTTTGATGTAAACAGGCAACCCACAGAATGGGAGAAAATTTTCATGTGCTACAAATCCGACAGAGGGCTGATAACCAGAATCTATTTAGAACTCAGAAAAATCAGCAAGAAAAAATCAAGAAATTGGTGATATTTAAAGGTTTTTGGAATGTATCTTTGACAATGAGGGACTTTTAGTCCATATTACAAAAGTATAGATGGTGTTATGATCGCATGATGTCATAGTGCATAGTGAGTGCTGGAAAAGACATGAAAATGAGCAAGAGTTCAGATGTTTTGTTCCTGAAACACCCTCAATTGTTAGCTTTTCTCAAACTTGATTCTCTTTCAAAATAGCAAGTGATCCATCTTCAGGTCGTCCTTGCCTTTCCTCTCTCAACACTTGAAATTACATAAATTTCTGCTAATACCGCTTAGCCCCTCACCCTAACACCTACTTATCTGTGTGTTTTGCAAAAGCAAATCACTTATCTTTTCCATCTAGCTATCACTCTCTTACCTTCCAAACACTGCTGCCAGATGACTCTTCATAAACAGGGCTCTGATTAAATCATATCCCTCCTCAATAACTTTTTTTTAATTTTTATTTCAGGGTATTATGAGGGTACAAACATTTTGGTTACATTTTAAGTCTTTGGCTCACCCAAGTGAGGTTTAGAGGCATGGTCTTCTCCTCTACAATGCTCACCATGTCTTTAGCTGTGAGTTTACCCAGCCCCCGCAACCCCCTAATCCCCAGAGAATATTACTACCATGTTAGCACCATAGTGTTAATAAGTTAGTACAATTTTATGGCAAGTACAAGTGGAGCCTATTCTTCCGATCTTGTGATACCTCACTTCGGATAATGGGCTCAAGCTCAATCCAGGAAAATATAAGAGGTACTAGATCACTGCCATTTCTTATAATTGAGTAATATTCCACTGTGTACATATACCAAATTTTAATAATCCACTCATGAATTGACGGGCACTTGGGTTCTTTCCACATCCTTGCAATAGTGAATTGTGCTGCCATAAACATTCGGGTGCAGATGTCTTTATTGCTGCAGCAACAAAAATAAATAAATGGGATCTAATCAAATTAAAAAGCTTTTGCACAGCCAAGGAAACTATCATGAATAGTGAATAGACAGCCTACAGAATGGGAGAAAATATTTGTTCTCTACACATTCAATAAAGGGCTGATAACAAGAATCTATCTAGAACTCAAAAAAATCAACAAGAAAAAATCAAACAACCCCATCAATAAATGGGCAAAGGAAGTGAATAGAAACTTTTCAAAAGAAGACAGAATAATGGCCAACAAACATATAAAAAAATGCTCAACATCTCTAATCATTAGAGAAATGCAAATCAAAACCACAATGAGATATCACTTAACCCCAGTGAGATTGGCCTCTATCAAAAAATCCCAAAACAACAAATGCTGGTGAGGACGTGGAGAAACAGGAACACTCTTACACTGCTGGTGGGACTGCAAATTAGTGCAACCTCTGTGGAAAAGAATTTAGACATACCTCAAAGAGCTAAAAATAGAAATACCATTCTATCCAGCAATAGCACTATTAGGTGTCTACCCTCCTCAATAACTTTTAATTCATTGTCATTGCTACCAGATTATATACATGTAAGGTATATGTACCTAGATCTCAACAGTCATGTACTGCATAATGATATTTTGGTCAACATTGGACCACATATGGGATGGTGGTCACATAAGATTATAATGGAGTTGAAATATTCCTATCACCTAGTGACCTCGTAGCCATTATAATGTGACAGGACAGC